TAAAAAAAAAATTATAAGATGGTGGTGAGACCTGCAATGCTTTACAGCACAGAATGCTGGTCTGTAAAAGATAAGCATAAAATAAGTTACGTGTTGATGGGATGCAAATGCTCAAGTGGATGAGTGGCTTTATACTCCGAGAAAATGTGAAATAAATATATCCATGAAAGGGTTGGAGTAGCTCAGGTGACAAAAAAAATTTCAGAGAGTCTTCATAGATGGTTTGGTCACATTAAATATTGATCGTCTGATGATCTTGTTAGAAAAGTAATTTTTTTAGATTTGACTAATGTTAATAAAGGCAAAAGTAGACCTAAAAAGACTTGGGCATCTTGCATAAAAACTGATCTTAATTTATTATATTTAAATGAAAATATGACACTCATTAGGACACACCGAAGAAAAAGGATTCATGTAGACGACCCCACTAAGTGGACTAAAGGCTTTCTGTTGTTTTTGTTGTTAATGTTGTTGTCGTGGTAAAGCCATTCTCTGATTCTACCTTTCTGGTTTAACCTAATTATAGTTGAAAAAGCATTATCTTCTAATAGAAGCTACAGTTTTGAATCCACCTTGAATAGTAAATCAATAATTCATAATAGCAAAAGCGCCCAGAAAATTCTACCAATCTTTCTAACATTGGGCACCAAGTGAATGGCTAAATCTCCTTCAATGTACAAAATCAATAATATTCATAAATCAAACAAAGAAAGGATGAATATATCACCATATCCCACCTAATTAAAATAAAATATTTAGAATAAGAGCTAACTGACTAATAAATAGTATGGATAATAAATTTGGATGGAATTTAATACTCTGTGGAACTGCAAAAGAAATCTGGAAAGCCACACAAGAAATTTACATGGAACTTCTTGAAATAAAAAATGCACTGCATGATTTTCAATAAGATCAGCTTAGTGCAATCCAATACTACAATGTCATCACTCGGTATTAGCAACAACAAAAAAACAATCTAAAAACCAAAATGGAATGCCCAAATGATCAAAAATCCAGAAGATTATTAAGAAAAATGAAGTCTTTGTCTCTTTTTCTTTTTGGGATAAAGATCTTACCTTCTATCAGAGAAGTCCTCTCTAAAGTCCGTAGAGAAGAAAATCGCAAGAAATACATGATCAGACATCAAAAAGTAAACATATGTCAACTATCCTAGAGGGCTCGGTAAACATTACAAGAGATAATTTTTCTAATGCTAATTGCCCTCTAAAAATTAGGCCTTGGCACGATCATTGCCACAATTCAACAAACACAAAAGAAAAATGCTAAAGCTTTATGTTGACTAGAAGCCTAGCAAGCAAATTCTAAACATCGAAGGACTAGGCTTCTCTGTCACCAATGGTGATAAACCAAAACTATAATATAAAACTTTCAACCAAGTATAATTGGACACGTCACAAAAAATGTTTGGTCAAACCAATTCCTACAGTTCCTGAAGTCAGCACAGGTTTCATTGCATAAAAGCATATTGCTTTGAATGCCCTTCGTAACAAAATTGAACATCAAAGTTTGATTCTAGACTCAAGAGCATGATATCAAAATGATAAGGACTGCCTCATTGTTTCAGATACAGCATCCTTGTCCTGAAAACTATATGTAAGTATTGTGGATGATTCAATATCCAAAGTGGTCGGCACTGGGGAAATTTTCCTCAAAAAGCTCACTATTTAATCATCTGCTCCTAATATTTCCTATAAATTACTATCAATCAATAAAATTAATAAATATACAAATCATATTACAATTTTTTTCTCATCTTACCTTGCATTTCAAGATGAAGACTCAAAGAAGATGATTGAAAATGCAAATGAAAGTGTTGGTCTCTACCTATTTGATGTTGAAAATTGTTGTAAAAAACAAGTGAAAGATGCTCAATGTGTATGTGATCAGCTTTCTAATCCTAATAATCTATGCATAATCATTTTGTGGCACTTTCGAATTTTCTAGGATATAATGCAAATATTGCTCCAAGAACTTAGAATCCAAATAATTAGAAAAAGCCAAAATACTTATCTCAAATTAAAGTTGTACATTATTAACATAAAATCCATACATCACAAAAAAAATATATAAGCCTTGTTAAAAAAAGGTCGATAAAATGTAACTTGAAGATGTCCAAGAAAATACAATAGTTCAAAAAATCTTAAGTCAAAAATTAGTAAAAATATTTTTCTACTAATTACACACTAACCAATAATTACGTACTTTGTTAATAGAATGAATCAGTTCATGCACAATCTTAAATAATCACACTGTATAACAATATATAAAAGTCTAAAATATTTCAAGAGAACCCTAGCAAAAGGAATTTTATTAAAAAGAGAGAAGATTTGATAAATGAAACATACACAAATGTAGATCATGCAAGCTCTATGATTGACTAAAAGTAAATTTGAGAATATCACACATTCTTAAAAACTAGCCTCATGACTTGAAGAAATGAGAAATTAAAATGTGACAACAAAATTTAAAACAAAAAACAAATAAAGTTCCATGAAATTGAAAATATGCAATTAACTATGATAAAAAGTTATCCCAAAAAATTTAAAATTTAATGGAGAAGTCTTATAAGGTTACATTATAGTAATGTCAACCATCAATATTACAATCATCTACAACATGATTTTACAGAGCATATTGAGGTTGATAAATATTTTATATAAAAAAAACTTGACAGTTATCTAATATGCACTCCATTCATAACTACAAATGTCCAACTTTTTAGTCTTTTCATCAAAGAACTGTTAGGGACAGTCATTCAAAAATTATCAAGCAAGCTTAGAATGAATGACATGAATCAATTCACTTAATGGGAGTGTGAAATGCCTACATAATTCCTATCAGTTAAGGCCCACAAACACCAAGAATTTTACACTCTTTTTTTACTTATTCATTTGCACCTGATTGATCGATGGGATTCCTACTTCCTAATCATCAATAAATGAACTATTATGATTATTATGTAATTATTATTCTAATTAGTCATCAATCAAATAATTGTTGCAATTATTTTGTAATTATTTTCTAAGTATTATATGTTTTTATTAGAAACTCTTCTAAGATTGAATAAATATTGCAAAAATTTTGTAATAAAATACTAAACTAATTCTCTTCAATTCTTGTTAGTTAATTCCATAAACTTTCTAAACTATTAAAACCTCAAAAAATAAATATACAATAACGCAATAATTTTTTCATTCAACTAACCATAAATTGGTTTGACACTAAATGGGACGCAATGGAGAAAATGGATTCATGTAGCCAACCCCACTTAGTGGGATAAAAGTTTTGTTGTTGTTGTTGTTGTAACCATAAATTGGTAATCTTTATGATTTTAATAAAGAATAAAAGAGCTAGGCAATTTAAGGAAATAGCTTGAAAACTAGAAGCTAAAACTAACCCTAAGGCTTATTACATTGTAATCCTCATGAAACTAAGAAATTATATAAATTTTGGCTATTCCTGCTAAATCAAAAATATAAATAAATTAAACCTATATATATGTAGATCATCAATAATTGAAAAGTAGACAAAAACTGCAACAATGTTAGTTTTATGATCTAAAGGGCCTTTTCCTAAAATTTAAGGAACTGTTTGGGATCACTTCTAATTTTTTTTTCTTTTTTTTCTTTTTTTTTTTTTTTGTTTTTGTTTTGATTTTAAAAAACATGTTTGGTTTGATATAACATGTTCAGCTATTTTTGTAAATGCTCAAAACAACTTCTAGATGTTTTGAATATTTGTAAAACAAGCTAATTTATTTTTAGAAAAAAAAAACATGCAAAAAAAACACTAAAACAAACATATTTTTAAAATAGAAGCAAAAACAAAAACATAAAATAGAAGTGATCCCAAAGAAGCCCAAGTAAATAAAAAAGAACATCTAACCACATCATCAATAATTGAAAAGCACAGTAAAACTACAACAATGTGGGTTCTATGATCTAATGGAATCTTTCCTAGAGGTTTTCTATATGTTTGATTTCCTTCACCAATGATTGGTGAAGACTGAGTTGGTAATTGTTTTCCTTAGTTTTCATGCTTCTGCATGGTTATCACTCTTTGTTTTTGCCAAACTATAAAATTGTGAAACAGGTGTCCCGTACCCTTATATTTTCATCTTTCATTGGAGGTTTTGTACATCATGTTGAAAGATAATTATTTTGTAGAAAGTTTTGAGGGGTATTTCTCTTATGATCCAAGTCTTAGCTCATCTCGTTTTTACATATAACTTGCATATGTTTGTCCATTGTTCGGAAGGGCTAATCTCTTTGATGGCCATGAGTTATAGAGTATTTAACATTAATTTTAATTTAAGCTCATCTAGTTCTAGGAAGAACAAAAGGATGTGCTTCAATTGATCCGTATTTCATTTGAAAATTAAATCTTGAAATATCTTGGGATATATTTCTGCCACTAAGCTTCTGAAAAAAAACTACAAAGATTTAAGGAATAATTTAAAAAGATTAATGCTAAGATCTTTTCATGTGAGGGTTGCCCTTTGAATCTTCTTAGTCACCTGGGTTAAACAAATTCCTTTCCTATAAGCTATTGGTTTCATTGTTGAATGTTTGGGTTAGTATCACTTATGAGGTGAATCACAGTTTCATAGATTTCTTACTGTGAGGTAACAAGGTATTTATTGTATCAAGTCTGTAAATCATGACTTGTTAACTTGCCAACATTATGGCCTTAGGGTGCATTATCTTTTTGCTAGAGGGTGGCTCTTTTTGTTCGCTACTTGCCAGAGTTATTTTTCACTTGCATTGCTAGTGGAGTAATTTGCTGCATTTTGGATAATACAAGCATGCTTACTGAATACAAAATACTTCAAGAATCAAATAAACAATATGGAAATTTTAAACAGACATAAATAATAATAATAATAATGTCACACTGCAAATGTAGCAAGCCAATTTTATAACATCCGAGTACAAAATAATACACAAGAAATGGAAACTCGTATAATTAATTTGACTAACCCCAAAAGGAAGAAAGACTATTCGCTCATCAACGTCAACTCCAATTATCGCGGCATTCACAAACCTTCAATCAAACAACCAAGTCAAAAATAATCTCCAGAAAAAAACGTGAAAATAATCGGTTTGAAGCCCTAGTAGGCATAATAATACAGACCATTACGCCACTATCATTAACAAACTAATCATCCCTAAAAGCAAAGTTTTTCATGAGGTCACTAAAATAAAGTGCCAAACTTTAGATGCATAAACTAGTTGATGTTATCAACTTATAGAATGCCATGTGGGAAATTCTTAAATGGATAAATTATTCGTAAAGCCATGAGGTCACTAAAATCATTTTAAACAGCCATATTCCTAGAATCAACATTTAATACCAAAATCATTCTTTTATTAAAAACATAATTATATTAGAATAATTAGGTTAATAAACATAAGAAGTGCATCTGTAAATAATAGATTCCCTATAGCATGCCAATTAAATAGTTACGAATAACATGGTATAATTTACTGAGAACTTTGATGAAATAATTTGAACTTTTAACTTTTTTTCTTAAACTAATCTGAGAAAATTTTTCCTTTCAAGACATGTAATGCTAGTTAAGATGCCCTCCAAAACTAACCACGAACAATTTTCTCTCAAAATTTCTTAAAAGTTCCTCATATTTTCGTACCCCTGAAATCCTCCACATTTGAAAAACAAGAATCAAAGAATATAAAGTAAATTATAAAACTCATGCATTCGCATGTGATATAATCAAATTTTCAAATTTCCCAAAAACAATTTAAGAATGAAAGTTGATATTTTTGTTAATAACAGTATCATGATATAAGTGTAATAATTCAATATTTGTGCTTTACACATTAAATTGACAGAAATAATGAATTTTCTAATAGTTCGGCAAGGCATCCGAACTCTTGAGCAAGAAGATGAAAGGATGATGCTAAATGAATGTAAAAGCTCCCCGGCGGCCTCCTGCTATATCAAGAGGCGGGAGGGCTAAGAGTTAAGAATGAAATGGATATGAAAGTATTGGATTCAGATTTGTTCTCGTGATGTCAGAACCCTAATAGCAATCTTTTCAGGTCTTGCTGGTAGGATCCTGACATAAACACGGACAAATTTTAATCAAATAGAAAGTCAAACAAAAGAGAAGCTAGGGCATCAGTTCCTCTCTCAATCAGCGAATCCAGTACGCTGGGAATCACCGGAATTCGAATACTCCTCATCACACTGAACCGCATGCAGTTCCCTCCCGCCAGCTCTCGCTCTCCCACTTGCGCAGGCGAGTGTTCGGTCTGCTCCCACGTCCCGAAAGCAAGGAGTTAACGGGTCAGAATGACCCGCCCAGTGAATGATGGGAGTGAGCCGAGTCGACTCCTGCCGGCCAGACCGGAAGAAATAAAGAGTGATCGAAATTGAATCCTGAATTCATGGCCTTGCGCTGGTTCACAAAGTACGAGAAAAAATTTAATTTTCCAGCTATATTATTAGCGGCCGACGACCACCAATATAGTAGAAGAATAGGCAAAGGAAGTCCGCAGCCAAGTCTTTTTTAAAAGAAATAAATAGGACACTAGTAGTTGTGAAGTAATAGTTTGAGACACTAATGAGGTTTGAGAACAACAAATAATATGGTTCATGTAAGATAAGCAGCAATAAAATTGACATAAAATCATGATTGTTCGAACTCAAAAATCATTAACATAAACTAGAGTCTCTTCATCCATGATTCTCATTGGGTGGATGAGATTCAACATGGAGCCTTTGTGGTGGTGAATTGAACTTAGAACATGGGAATTGAACTGACAACTTAATCCATATTATAGTTACACTCCCTCGCTTTTGTAGATTTTTCAAGACATCCTCATTATCTCTTATGTGTCAATAGAAATTGAGAGAATGAAAATTGTAGGATATGAATTGCACTACCTTTTGGGGGTGTTTGGGATTGCTACATCTTTTTAAAAAGGGTGGTTGTAAAGTTGTGGTGGAGAAGACGGCTTCTTAGAAAACTGTCATGATATTTATAATTATAGATTTTTTTTCCAAAAAATCGTATAGCAGTTTTTTTATAGCAGTCACATTTTAACAAGTCGGGTTGAAAAAAATAGTTTCCCATTACCAAAAATTTCTAAAAAGTTGCACGAAAGTGATTCCCCAAACATAGATGTGGTGGCTGTTTAAAATGCAAAGCTGACTAAAGTTTCCCAAACAGGCTCTTAGTATCACGTGCAACTCATTATCTTATGATGATTTGCAGTCATATCATCTAATGAACATCAATGTCAAGTCAAGTTAATAGCTTTAGTCAATACTTTTTCAGGACAATCAAATTGATGATATGAGCAAATGACCATGGAATAGTTTGATCTAATCTAATATAGATTGCTCGGATTTTCAAAAAGCCTAGCCGGACATGATGCTCAAATTAATGTGCCAAATGGGTTGTCTTTGATGAAGTACGAAAAACAAGTCATTTGATAAAGTAGGAATAACTAGCCATCATATCTCTCATTTTTACTCCCCAATGTCTATTTATAAAGCATTAATGAGGTAAAATAGACGTGCATTCTCAAGCATAACAACATTCCACATCTACAACTTTTTTATCTTCCTTGAGCACCCATGGCTTCCAAGAGTAAAGAAAAGTTTGAGTTGGCTTTAAAGATGAAGAAGGAAGTTGTAGAGCTAGCAATAGTGAAGCTAAAAGTAAAATCAAAAGAGGAAGAAAGGTTGATGGATGCGAAGAAATAGGGTTGAAGGTGATGATGATCGCTATAGAAAAAAAAAGAGTGATTTCTTTATGAAATTGGTTCAATTTTTTCATAAAACATTTCAGTCAAATTAAACATATATTGGTTTCAATGAATGTTATGCGTTCATCATTTATAGTTGACAGTGTGACTATCTTCTAAGGCTATGACACCTAATAGATGGCAATATCACCTAATTTGTAAACATATATGATGATACTTCTTTTAATGTCTAGTTATCCTATTAGATTTGAGTTGATGCAACTTTATAATTTTAAGTTATTTCTTTTAAATTTTAAATAAATGGTTGATTCCATCTTCAAATAATATAATATTCATTCACATTTTTTTAGTGTTATATTTTATAGTTTGATCTTTATTAATTGAATATCCTCGTTCCTTAAGCAATATTTAGTCTTGTGCAGATCATTTCATACTAAGAGATCCAATGAGAAGCATATACGAGGCTTTATCTATATGCTATTTTGCCTTTTCAATTTTTTAAAATATTTTTTTAGATAATATCAACTAATTAGCATGCAATGTAATCATATTTATTACCTTTAATATATTGAAGCTCTCTTACACTTTTTTATTATATTATGAATGTCTAAGACTTAGGGTAAAAATGTGACTTTCTTACAATCTACTCTCTCTCTCTCTCTCTCTCTCTCTCTCTCTCTCT